CATTTGGTATTTTCTTCTAAGAACAGTGTGTCATAAAAGAGTAATACCTACTCAGTACAGTGTATTTTAAGCTAATGTAATTTTTTAAATCGGAAGTTTCTAACCTCAGCTAGGGCCAATGATTTAATTAGATTTTGGGGTTTTTGTGTTTTGTTTTTTTTTGCTTTGGCCATTTCACTAATTCCAAGGAACGATTACACTGTTTCCTGCTGTTATGGAAATTTAATTAACAAATCTACAGACAAGGTAGTCAACACCTTTAATCCTGGGAAAGACACGCTCAGTAGCCGCATGCTTTCTCTAATGATGGGGTTAAGATCTCGTATTTTGTCCAGCTACTACGGGATCACACTCTGGCATGGGTACAGGTGGTGCTGTGCGCTAATCCTGAAATAACCTATGACAATTTTTTGTCTCAGTTTCAGAATGTTTTTGATAAGGCTTCCCTGACTCATCCCTGGAATATTGATTACTTTGGAGTAACCCTCATCTCTGTGAATAGGTTACTGGGAGACCTGTGCCAGCCCTCTTTTATGCAGATTGAAGTGTGCCAGTCCACGCAGATGATTGGCTGCCTGGGGATCCCATGACACTCCAAGAGGAAATGACAATCCTTCACACAACGGGGGCTACTGCTCAGAAGTGAACGTGCAGTGTCCCCCTCATCTCCCTCTCTTTTGCACTTTGTTTGTTAAACCTGGTATACAGCTGAACTTAGCATCACAAAACTCTAATAATACTAACTTGCTTTAGTTAACCCTTAGCTTTTACTTTTGACAGTTTTTTTTCTTTATGTATTAATTGGTTGCCCAGTGGTCTGTAGAACAGCCTTGTCATTTTTCTTTTTAAAGTTTGCAATAAAACCTTTTATTTTACTCAGGTTTTGTGTGGGGAATTGTGTATGTTATCCCCCTCCTGTCACCTAGCAGAGGGGGTCTACAATAGCTGCTCGGCCAAATTCTCCTCATCACCTTTGGACATCTTTCGTTGGTTCGTGTCAAGTAGCTCAGCCTTCTTAGGCTGTGTCGCTAGTTGTGTCGATAGCGATCACATAGCACATCACTATATACCAGCTAGTCCAACTTCAGTAACCCTACAAACGTCCCTGCTTTTTAGTTTTCTGTCTATAGTTTTCTGTCTAAGTGATAGCAGAGCTGTACAGAACTCAGTCGCTCAGTCAGAACATGCGATATCACGTTTAGGTGGAAACTAGCGCGCTAACGTCCTGCTAACTTCTCACTCTATTAAATTTAATACATTCTGTTAACATGGATGCCTGGATGTTAAACTTAATTGTTACACCTGTTAAAGCAGCAATGCTGATCATTTTATTAAAGATGAAAGAATTCAGACAGTTTTTAACTCTCAGTGATGCTGCAGTGATCGTTTGACTTTGGGACCTGAAGCCGACGGAATTTTGGACCCAGATCACTTCGTGAGGCTCCTGACTACGGTAGCCGTAATGCTCTGACAATCCATCTAGCAGTGTGGCTTTGTAGCTTACCAAAGTCGTACTAAAGCATTTTTTGACAGATTTTTGAGCGCCGTGTACGACATAAAATCGGTTCAAGGTCAGTGAGCACAACCAGAGTTCATACATAAGGCACACCAGATTATAAGGCGCACTGTTGATTTTTGAGAAAATTAAAGGATTTTAAGTGCGCCTTATAGTGCGGAAGATGCAGTACTAATTTTATTCAGGTGTGTTGCAGCAGGAATACATTTAAAAGTTTCAGAATACTGGCCCTTGAAGACTGGAGTTTGACACCTGTGATCTAAAGCTGCTTTCAGTACGACTGATATTTATTTAGAGTCTTTTTCTCCAGTTGATCTTTCTGAGTTAACTTCAGAAATTACTTCCTCCAAACCATCAACCTGTCTTTTAGACTTCAATGTACATATTAAACAAATATGTAGGACTCATTTCTTCCATTTGTGTGATATTTCTAAAATTAGAAATATCTTGTCTCAGTGTGACACTGAAAAACTAGTTCATGCATTTATTACTTTAATGCCTGGCTACTGTAATTCATTGTTATCAGAATTTCCTAAAAACTCCATGAAAAGCCTTCAGTTAATCCAAAATGTCTTGATGCATGCTCAATCATTCAGGTAAGTAAATCCCCAAAAGTTGATTCTGTTCATCCAGACGTAGCGTTTTCCGTGGGAGAAACATTTCATCACTCATCCAAGGGACTTCTTCAGTCTCAGCTGACTGTAGGTTTCCCCAATCTTATAAACAGTTCATTTGCATAATGGCTGAAACTAGCACCACTGAAAGAACAATGGGCTGTCATATTTCTCCTGTATTGGCTTCTCTTCATTGCCTCCCTGTTAAATACAGAATTTACTTTAAAATTCTGCTCCTTACATACAAGGTCTTGAAAAATCAGGTTCCATCTTGTCTTAATGACCTTATAGTACCATATCACCCTATTAGACCACTTCACTCTCAAATGTGCAGATTTGCTTCACTGTTCCTAGAATATTCAAAAGTAGATTTGGATGCAGAGCCTTCAGTTTTCAGGCTCCTCTTCTGTGGAACCAGCTTCCAGTTTAGATTTGGGAAACAGACACTATCTGTCATGGTCCTGGTCTGGTGACCCAGTGATTGTGTTTTTGTCTTAATATTCTTTGCTGGAGGTATGCACTAGAGGTTCTGGTGAGCCTGTCCAGCCACCTTCCGTGTTGGCCGGAGGCTCTGGCAAGGCCATCCAGCCACAACCTGCTTAATCGTCTGTGGCGTCCACGCCACCACCAGCTCAACCACCTGCTCAACCACCTATGCCACCATCTGGCCCAGCCACATCTCCACCAGAGGTTGTTGTGCCGTCTGTTCCAGCTCCGTCTTTGCCAGAGGTTGTTGCGGTGTGTGGTCCAGCTCTGTCTCCACCAGACTTAGATGGCTGCGTGCCTGCCAGGTCACATCCTGCTTGGCTATGTCCTGCATGGCCACATCCTGCATGGCCTCCTCAGCCTGCACATGCCAGAGCATGCCAACACCCATCCCATCACCAGCCACCTTCCATTCCACTTGAAGTTCCCTGCTTCTTTTTTCTCCTTTGTCAGAGTCCTGGAGGGTCATCGTCATGTGGGGCCTCCTGAACTGATTTGTTGCCGCTGATTCCCACGTGGTCAGCCCCCAGTACGGATTAATCACCGACATTTCTCAAACAGTTGGCCCCTAGAACTGATTCGTTGTTGCTGCTTCACATGCGGTCAGCCCCCAGAACTGTTTTGTTTTTTGAATTCTCTGGCTACTTGTTTTTTTAGTACAGTTATTTATAGTTTTGGTTATCTTGATTTCTTAGGTTATTAGTGATCTTAGTTCTCCCTCCCTCAGTGTTTAACTTAGCCTGTGTATAGTCTCTGTCTGTGGCTTCCCTGTGTTCCTCCCTTCATGTCTACTCTCTTTTGTCTTCTTGTCTTTATGTTCCTGTTTTCCTTTCATTTTGCTTCTGTGTTTCCTCTCTGTCTCCCCCAGTTGCCTATGTTCTCATATCTGCTTCTTTCCCCAGTAAGAGTGTCAAATCTATTTAAGTGTGTGTCTCAAATTTCCTGTTTTACTTTGACAATCTTGCGTCCCATGCTAATGCATTCAATTTTGCTTCCTTTCTGTCTCGTTTGTCTGATTGTCTCTAGCTCTGTTTCCCTCCTGTTTCCCATCCTCTCGCTGCCTCTCTGTGTATTTAAGCCCTTTGTGTTCCTCTGTTTGATGCAGTATCGTCTGTGTATCTCCCTTTGCACGTCCACGTCTCAAGTTTCCCATGTTCCAGGTGGGGTTTTTTCTATGAGCTATGTTTTAGTTTCTTCCCAGTTTAGGTTTTGTAGTTTAGTCATTGTCTCTTTTAATGTTTTGTTTGTGTTCTGTTCTGCCACTAATAAAGGCTCCATTTCAGTTTAAGTCCTTTGCAAGTGTGTGGATTTGTGTCCAATCTCTCTCCACTCCACATGATCTGCCACAGCAGACATGACACTTTCTCTACTTTTAAGATTAGGCTTAAAAACGAAAACTTTCCTTTTTGCTAAAGCGTATAGTTAGGGCTGGATCAGGTGACCTTAGTTATGCTGCAATAGGTATAGGCTGCTGGGAAATTCCCATGATGACACATAGTGTCTATTAACACATTGAATCATTACATGTTATTAATCTCTGACTCTTCCACAGCATGTCTTCCTTCTCTCACCCCAACTGGTCATAGCAGATGGCCGCCCCTTCCTTAGCCTGGTTGTGCGGGAGATTTCTTCTAGTTAAAAGAGAGTTTTTCCTTCCCACTTTCCCCAAAGTGCTTCCTCATAGGGTTGAATGTGATTGTTGGGTTTTCCTCTGTACGTATTATTGTAGGGTCTACCTTAAAATATAAAGGGCCTTGATGCAACTGTTGTTTTGATTTCTATTGTATATCTAAAGTTGTACTGAATGAGTAACTTCTTTATACTTACACAAAGGGGAGTTTCACTGGTCCAGCCCACTTAAGACCAAAGGGACCAGTATGTGGCCCGCATTGTAAAATTTATTTGACACTTCTGACATAAATGACAAAAATAGCATTCATTTACCTGAGCTGTGAGATATAAGGCAGACACTGAAGTAAAATCAGTACTTCACTCTCTTCATGTGAGCAGTCTGTCAGCTCCACTTGTTTCTTCTCTGGTTGGAGTTTCAGCACTTCCAGGAGGATGGAGGTCTTTCTCTCTGAGAGGTTTATGGACCAGACTGCAGGAGCTGACTGGAAAAATGGCTTCAAAGCCATTTTAAAGTCACTTGAAAACTCTTTCACATGTTCAAACAAATCAAGAAAGATGTTGTCTATGTCCGTTTTAACTGGAAACAATAGGAGGAGCCTTTTCAGTATATGTTTGTTTTTTTCTTTATATTGAAGTGCTGCTTTCAGGCATAAATCCATGAATAGCCTCTTCTGCTCCCTCTCCAGTGTCCCATGGTATTTCTCCTGCCTCCATGAAACTGGACCTCTGAAGCTGAAAAACAAAATTTCAGATTTCTGTTAAACTTGATTTGATCAAACTTTAAGCACCCAATGTATAGCAGGAGTAGATCAGGGTCAGTGTCATGCTGGAATACAAAAGGGGAAAAAACTTATTATAAATGTAGAATGCCCATGCTTGTACAAACCCAATTCTGAGACAGCAATGATACTGTGTTACATATAAATACAAATGTTAAAGTTAAAAGTTAAAATTAGCTACCTATTAAAACATGGTATTGAAAATAAACAGCGGAAAATAGCCACCCCTAAGGTTTTTTTTTTGTGTGTTTATGGTTGTAATTGTTGACCCTGGAGTTGCCCACCCCTGCTTTAAACCCTAATCTGTCATTCAAACATTCTTGTTAGATTATGGTAGTTTCAGGTATTAAAATGCTATTACATCCGGACATAAGAGGACGCATAGCATAGTTAGTAAATATGCTGAGCGGTGATGTGGGGTCATCCAACACCGGCTCCAGGGAGGAGCATACGGCAGCGTGCTCCACGGAAGATTTTTCTATTGGAACAGTCTCGAGATGACAACCTACGCTCAGCCTTCGACCAAGTGATAAGAAACGATGGTCGGTGTATTCACGATGGTCAGCCCTGAAGCGGTGCTGGGATTTTCTCCCTTTCAGTTATTGTTCGGCAGGAAACTGTGGTTGGCGCTCAACCTTATTAAAGAAAACTGGGGAGTCCAAGCCCTGCTAAAAATGAGATTCAATACGTCCTGGACCTGAGAGCAAAGCTTCAAGCGTTGGATAGGTTATCACGGGAGGATTTAGTTCAGGCCAAGGAACAACACCAGCACCTGTACAACAGACCCAGGCAATTTCTACTGGGAGATAAAGTGCTGTATTACTCCCGTCTTATAGCTCAAAGCTACTTGCCAAGTGGCAAGGGCCCTTCGTGGTCACATGGCAAGTGTGGGACGTGGACTACAAGGTGGCATGGTCAGACAGGGGCGGAACCACACAGATCTATCACCTCAATCTCCTTAAAGCATAGATAGGGGCTGAAACCGCTGCTCTTGTGAGCCTGGTTAAGGAAAGAGATGAATTGGGGCTGGAGGTGCCAAATTCCACCATTGTGATAACCATCTCACACAGGCCCAGAGAGCAGCGGTTAACACCCATTTCAAAAATAGCGGTTTGTGGATGTCTCTCCTCTGCCTGGCCATATGAATCTCATGGAGCATCACTTTGAAATGCAGCTTGGCGTGACGGTGCATTCACAGTCCTACAGGTTATCTGAGCACAAAAGACAGACTGTTCAAAAGGAATTGGCAGAAATGATAAAGATGGCATCAACAGAAGAAAGGTAGGTCTATACAGTTCTGTGTGGACTATTTCAAGGTGAATCAGGTGTCAGAGACTGATGCTTGTCCCATGCCCCGGATCGATGAGCTTTTTTCGCTTTTTTACTTAACTGGATTTAACCAAGGGCTACTTGCACATTACCTTATCTGCAGAGTCTAAGGGAACAAAAAAACAGCCTTATCCACTCTTTACAGTTTGCACCCATTAATCACACTTCCATTCTGCTTATTTGAAGCCCTGACCACTTTCCAGCACCTTATGGACCGGGTACTGTGTTTAAAAGCTGCATATGCTGCCGCTTACATGGATGATGTCATCATCCATAGCAACAACTGGGCAGAGCACGTGCAGCGGGTGGCCATGGTGCTGGAGTCCCAGAGGCAGGCGGGGCTCACGGGGAACCAGAAGAAGTGCACTGTTGGACGGAGGGAGGTACAGTATTTGGGGTACCACGTGGGAGTTGGGCAGGTGCATCCTCAGATGGATAAAACAACAGCAATTACCTGCATCCCAAGACAAAAACGCAGATGAGGCAGTTCTTGGGACTGGCCAATTACTAACAAGTTACTAACAAGTTCGGTAACAAGTATTAAAGTCAAGTCAAAACCTATTTTTTCCATTTTAACAGTCATAATTATTTGAAAGCAAAAACTACATACCTGAGTGAGCTGATGAACGGCAAAGCCTTTAACAGAGACTCACACTGACTGTGACAGGCAGGAGTTTCTTTGTCCCAGTGGAGGCACACATTAACCTTTGTAGGCATCCTCTGCATGACTTGCACAGCTCTTTCAAAAAGCTTCTTTTCACCATCAACTAGAAGGTGAAGGTTTCCATCTAGGCTGAGTAAGCTTACAAAGTTCATCTGCTCTTCATTGATAAGAAAAATCTCCCAAAGCTGTCGAGGCAGAGGGCCAGACCTACAATTGAAAAAGAGATCATTACCTCAGAGTAAAACTAACCAAGAATACGCGTCTCATTAAAGGATCTAACCTAAGCAGTAATATAACCCTAAAACTACATGTTCATTCTTACCACTGAACATTTTTAAAGCATTCAAACAGCTGTCTCATTCCTTGTTCTGATATCACAACATCCTCGAGGTTCAGACATATTTTCCTTTCCTTTGACTGAGTGACCACAAAGGCCACAGCACAGCAAGGGTAAGGATCCAGACTGTCTCCACTGAGGTCAAGATGGTAGTCCAGTTTGTCTAGAAGGTAGATGCATGCTTCAGGACTCTGGGACTCATACAAGCACTGGCATAAGAACAGTATGTGGACATGGAGCCCACTGTCCTCAGTATCAGCCTCTTCTTGCTCACACAGATGAGGAAGAAATGTGTTAATCAGCTCCTTGAAGAACCAGTTAGATGTATTCTTCAGGTCCTGATCTGGAATCAGATGCTTCATCAAACTTGGGCTCTTCTCATTCAACAGTCGACACATGAAGGGGATCAGATGTTTCATGTGTTTCTTCTCCTCTGTGAGGCACTGCTGAAAAACATCTCTGATTTTATCAGGATTCTTCAGGAGCCACAGTGCTGCAAAAAACTCCTGCACTGTGTAATGGAGGAATGCATGTGTGGTTATTGTTTCAGTCACGGCCTCCTTAATGAGAAGTGGTTTCAGGAAGGACAGGACACAGATGTCTTCACAGGTCAGGTCTGTCAGATTCACAGATTTTTGTTGAGTTGCAAGAAAAGCAGCTTCAGCCAGAGACAGAATTTCTTCTGTCTTGGTGCTGATGAAGAAATTTAGATCTTTTTTCTTTGTTTTGCTGTTTATCTGAAGGCAGAATCGAATAATATTGATGTAGATCTCAGTTACTGTACATGGCTGTGGAGAGTCTTCTGAGTTAAAGCAAGCAGCCATCATCAGTGCATACATGGGGACATGACAAAGAGTTACCAACTCCAAGTTACTCAAAACTTTCTCCTGATCTTCACCGAGTGTTGCAGACAAGTATGTTTTAATAGTCTGCTCACTAAAGCCTTTCACCTCCACTCTGTGAAAGTCCCCAGAAAACAAGTCTTCATCCTCATCATCTGGTCTGCATGTTATGATGATCTTTGCAAGACGAAGTAGTTTCTTTGTTAAAACTTTCTTGACCACCTGTGAGGAGAGATCTGTGATCCCATCAAAGATTATTGTGATATTGTCAGAGTACTTTATATCCTGTAAGACCTCATCTTTGCCTTCATCAGGTTCACAGAACACACCAAAAAGAAGTTCCTCTAAGTTTTTGTCCCTTATGATGTCAGATATTTCCCTCATGTCAAAGTAAAACATGTAATCAAGCTCTTTGCTTTCTCTTTCTGCCCAGATTCTCAGCATTTCATGAGTCAGTGCTGTCTTTCCAATTCCAGGTTTTCCAACCAAGAGAATGTTTTTATCTGTTTCCAGCAGCTCACTGGGGGGAATGTCTGGTTTCTCCTCAGGGATGTATTTTCTCATCTTTTTAGGGCGACTCAGCTTGCTTTTCTTTTTCTTCACTTTCTTTATTTTAGACGGAGAAACACTTTCGTCTGTGTCTAATACAAGTGTTGCGTACGACAGATCAGGCTTCTTGTTCCCTCCCAACAGCTTTTTACTCTTTCCCCAAAACTTATTTGACATCTCTTTTGCATTTGACTTCAACTTTTCCTGATATCTGTGGCACGGTCTTGGTCCTGAAAACAGTGAGAAAACAAAGTGACTTTGAATCAAATGTAGTTTTCTTACAAAATAATGGATACATATTTATACCAGCATATTAAAGCACATTTTATAGAATCAGTACATCAACGATAACAAAGAAAATGAAATGAAACAAATATTTAATCTGGATCTTTGCTTCAGAATACCTTGTAAGTAGTTTGCATTCATTTCTGTGTCGTCCTTGAAGGGAAAGCAGCTGATCCAATGATGCAGGTCAAATGTCTTGGTGCCAGAATGAAGAGGAGGTCTCTGTAAAGTCCTCTTCCTTGTCATGTCAATAATTTTGAGGAACTCATAGCAGGCTTTTTGCCCTTTGTTTGTGACTGAGTCCAGTATTCTTCTGGTTTTGTCGTAGTCGTCCTTCTCTGCCTGTATTTTACTGACCTCTTCATCACAGAGAACTCCTTGCTGATATAAGTTCTCTAAAATCACAGATAGATTCTTTAATCCTCCCACAAGGTGGCATCTTGCACTTCTGATATAACCTTCAGCAGTCTGTGATGTACAGGCCATGTTTCACGGCTTCTGTATGTCCAGCACAGTGAACCAGCTTCACTCATCTAGAGAACAAGATACCAGGTTAGAAATGTTGGAAATAATTAACACACCTCTGATGTATTTGAGATAACTAAGACAGAATAAAACTGAACTAAATAATGTATATGGGAATGTAAAATAAATTAATGAACACATGCATAAGATCTAAATAAAGCAATATAAACAATAAATAAATGGGGAAACAGTTGTTTTTGTTTTTGTTTTTGCTTTTTTAAATCAACCTGTCCTGTCTGGCAGCTTTAGCAAGAAGAATCATGTTGTAACCGCACTGTCCTTTTTATTTTATTTTTATTTTATTTTATTTTATTTTATATGTGTAGTGTGAGTTAACAGTCTCAACATAAAACAAATTAAAGACAAAAAGGGGAAGAAATGGAGAACAGACAAAAAAGGACAAAGCACTAGTAAAGCGCAACAGGCCACCCACTGCTGCATCTGTAACAAAACACATTCAGAAAAGAAACAGCACCTAAGACAGAGAGAGAGAGAGAGATTAGATTTTTGAAAAATATGTTTATTTCTCATGAAATAATCAACATATTACAACACCCGTTATATTGAAATCAATGAAAAAAAACCACAATATATCAAAACATTACATCAACACCTGCCCAAAAACTAGGTGCTCCTCAACCACACTACAGATTGTCTCTCTGCAACCCCAGACCTGAGGAAAAGTATGTAGGTCTGAGGCTGCCTTATAAACTTTAAATTCTAGCAGCAGCCTAGACTTCACCATGTTGACAAACACAGAGACCACCTCAACATTCAGCCCTTGTGTCACCTTCCTCTTCCTACTCATATAATTTTTGCCTGTCCTAACAAAATACTAAGCAGCTGGCATTTGCTCTTCATATGATGAGAAAATTTGAAACCACAAATAAAGACATTCAGTGTAAAACCTTCCCCACATCTACTGAAGATAGTGCTCAGAAGTACAAACAGAGCTGAGAGGGGAACACATTCAGAAAACAATGATAAAGCTTCTCTCTCTGCTGACAGGTTGGACATTTGTCTTCCACAGAAGGGTTAATAACAGAAACAAAAGAATTTACAGCAACAATGCCATGAAGAATTCTCCACTGTAAGTCTGCATGTTTTTTCATGAGGGGAGGCTTATAAAGGGATCTCCATGCTGGTTTCATGTCAGGTGCTAAGGAGAGATGGGTCAACCACACTGTGTCATTGCATCCATTCAACTTCCTTTGAGAGTTTTTACAAGCAGCCTATACAAAGTTTTTCCAGAGGCCTCTTCCAGGGACACCCCCGCAACATCCACACCATCCAGTAAAGGACCAGAGCAGTTCTTAAACCCAGGAACAGTCTGATGGAAGGATAAGGGTCTAAATGATTTGGAAACAGAGTGCCTTCACAATAACCTGCCAAAAGTGAACATTCAGCTCCACCTAACTTGTGTTTCCAATGATCCAAAAGCTGAACAACAACTCGAGTGGAACTTATTCCAACCTGGGCAGCAAGTCTATCAGGATTATCCAGCTGAGGTCCAGCCAGCTCTAACACCCACTTCAGAGAAAAAACCCGTGCAGTGTGGAGCTGTCTGGATAAAGTAGTCTTCCCCCACACAGGGCAATCCAGCAAGCTGCCAAACTGTACAGGTTCTTCCAGCAACCAGTACAGAGAAACAGCCTGCTGTTGCCTCCCTTTCCTCAGCAGAGCCCACACAGCTTGCTCGAGTCCATCAGAAACAGAGATGGGTCCAAACCCACGCCCCCAAGCTGTTGAAGAATACTGCACGATACCCTCCTCCACACTAGATCTGGGGGTCCTTAAGTAGCCTCTGAATAAACTGAAATCAAAAATCAGCACCTCTACTGCCCAAATGGACCAGACCTTGTCCACCTTCCTCCCTAGGGAGGAACTTTGAGGAATCCAGTGCAGCTTATCCCCAAAAAAGTCCACCAGGATCCTTTAAATATAACTGGGGGATCAGCACAAGTCCACCGGTGCCACAGAGCCTCCAGGCAAACTGAGCTGATCCCCCAGCTGACCTCTCACGGTTATAGCCTCACTCTTTCCCCAGTTTATTTTGGCGGAAGAAATACAACCAAAAAGAGAAACTCTGTTCCCTAAAATCTCAATATCATTCCGTGTGTTGACCAGAACAATTAAATCATCGGCATAAGCTGACAACTTTAGAGATACATTGCACCCAGGGATCTAAACACCACAAAAGTCCTGTCTTAATTTGTGAAGCAAAGGCTCAATTGCCTGGGAATACACCATCCCTGACAAAGAACAGCCCTGCCCTCACCCCCTTAGAACATTGAATGCACCATTTAAGACTCCATTCTTATACTGCCAACACTTTATTCACCTTTTAGTCACTTTTAAAACTGTGTAATTTTAAAACTGTATATACTCTATATTCTGTGTATTTATTATTTTACTCTTATTGCCTGTTCTTATTGTCCTTATCTTCAACGTTATGCTGCTCTGTTGTTTGTTAATTGCCGCTTGGGGATAAATAAAGTCTTCTGATTCTGATTTAGTTTCAGTACACTGGTAATGTCACAGTACAGAACCTGAATCATTGCTACAAAACCTAGGCTGAAGCCAAACGCAGTTAAAGTTTGCCACAAATATTGGTTTTCAACCTGGTCAAAAGCTTTTTCTTGGTTTATAGAAATGAGACCAATATCTATGCCCAAAGCTAGAGAGGTCCAAAATATCTCTAATCAAAGTGATGTTATCACTTATCAGCCTGCTGGGCCTGCACTATGTTTGGTCTCCATGAATGACAGAAGCCATCACATCTCGAAGTCTGGTGGCCAGGACTTGGAAACATCTTATAGTCTATACAGAGCAATGAGACTGGTCCAGTTCTTCAAATTGCATAGCAGAGCAATAAGCTCCCGTCTACAGCTCAGAGGTAGCAAGCCTCTCTGCAGACTATCCGTGACAACCTCCAGAAAATCCTCACCCATCAAAGACCAAAAGGCTTTGTAAAATTCAACAGGACCTCTCACAGTTACTCATCCATGCCAGGAATCTACAGTCTGAAAACTAATCAGAGCAGTATAAAGTTCATGCAAAGTTGGCTGAGCCTCCAATTTTCGATTGGCTTCAGCCGCCACCTGAGGGAGTCCCTTGAAGAAACTATTACACAAACTGGGATTTTCTGAGAAATCACTCTTAAAAAGGTCCTTATAATAGCTGACAGCAAACTTCCTGATCTCAGAAGGATCTGAGATTGTGGAGCCACTGTCAGACATTAGAGAGTGAACAGTCTTTCTTTGCCCAATCTTCTTTTCCAGTCCAAAGAAGAAGTGAGGAAACGTGACATCTCTGTGACGCTGAGGAAATGTGACCTGACCAAAGCCCCTTTGGCTGTCGTGCCCAACAGGTCGGCTAAAATAGGCTTTTTAGATTTGAGGGAATCTAAAAGCCCCCGGTTTCCTGTAGACGCTGCTAAACCCTGCAGTTCTACCATCTGAGTCTCTATAGGTCTCTCATAGATCCGGTTATGTCTCTCGTAACATTACGAGTAAAATGTTGACACAATTGTTCGACCTGACACTTCCCAAAATCCCACGACTGCTGGATACAAACAAAATCTGATATTGATTTTTGGTTACTGAAGCAAAAATACTCAAAGGTTGTTCTAAAAGCTTTGTCATTCAACGGGGCTGTATTGAAATGCCAGTAGACACTCCATGTATTACCATTTTTAATGAAAACAGAACAATAAACCAGACAATGATCAGAGAAACCAACAGGGGTTATCTGACAGTCTTTAAAAATACTCAAATGGTGTTTAAATGAGTATATACGATCCAGTCTTGCCAAAGACAAACGATTGTCCTTAGAGTGACTCCATGTGTACTGTCTCTGATGTCCATTGCAAACCCTCCACACATCTGACAGGTCCACAGCTGCAACCAGCTGCCTGAGCCTGTGAGAGGACACAGGATGAGGTTCTGTGTGTTTCCTATCCAATAGTGGGTTTTCAGTACAATTGAAATCCCCATAAAAAACAAATACTCATCATCACTAGAATCCTTAACAGTATCACACAGGACATTTAAAAACCCATTCTGTCCACTCCTTTAATTGGAGCATATACATTGAGAAAAACAAAATTCACATTTTCATATTTGACTTTAACTTTCAGTAAACAGCCCTTGATTATTTCCTCTGCTTAGCAAGAAACAATTAAAAAAAAAAAAAATTCAATAAAACAAAAAAATTCTTAGAGAACACAATCTCCACACCTCCACCGCAGCTGGACTTATGACTAAAAAATATCCCCCCACACACACCATACACACACACAGCCCTCCTCCAGTCACTCTCGTTGTCAACAGTACTCTGAGTTTCTTAAACCAACATCATATCTAAGTTCTTTAAATCCATAAGCTTGAAAAAAGCAGCTCTCTTCACCTCATCTCTAGCACCATTCAAATTTAATGTGCCCATTTTGAATTTGCACATAAAAAAGGAGAGACAGAGAAAGAAAGACAGGAACATATAGAGTATTTTCCTAAACATTATCATTGTCATCAGCAGTAAGTGCTTGAGCTCTCACTTTAAAAATCAGTTTCTTTAAATGATAAATCTCCTGGTCTGTCAACACATCATCAACAAAATTTCCAGATTTTTTTGTCAAGACCCGAGCCGATTCAACAAAAAGCTTCAGGTCTGGAAGGTAGTCCTCCACTTTCACCATCCTGAGGCCTTTGGTTTTCTGTAAGAACCTCCTGATCTCAGCAGAAGAGCACAGATTCTGGTGTTGAAATCCTCTATTTTGAAACTGAAAGACAGGTTTGGCTCACTAGCGCTGTCTTTGAGGATCATAAAAACCTGCCTTCTGTGTTTAAGGAGCACAGTTTGCACCCCAAAGAGACCATACACAAAATCATGAACTTTAGTTACCTTATCAAGAAAGATAACAATCGCACCATTCATACGATAGGCAGATTTCACACTGTCATAACCCACCACCTCTCCTACAGCTAAAACAGCTTCCTCCACCGAACACTTCACAGCCGGTATGAGTTTGACAGCATGATGGCTTTTTACACAACTTTATTTACACCACATTAAGAAGAAAAAACACACACAAAAAAACAAACCTAACACAAAGTTGCTACTACATCATCAGCAACATCAATATGAACTAACCATTTACTAACTCCAACCAACACACACACACACACTTAAAAATTAAGGACAAGTGTCCCATCTGCTCCTATGGAACACAAAACCTGTCCAATCCCCCACATAGTTGTAAAGGAGTCCAGATTTTTAGTCGGAGAGTAAAAAGCATGCTCTACTCTCAGATGGGATGCAGTCCCTTTAAACTCTGCACAGCATCAGTCCAACCCTGACCTAACATCTGGTTCTTCCCAGTCTTCCATATTGCCAGCTTGGCTGTACCAACCAAAAAATTAATCAGAACCAGAGTCCGTCCCTTCTTCACTTGATACTTAGGACCAAAAACAAACAAGGGTACAGATAACTTCTCCCCCAGAGATTCCACCCACTCCTGCAACAAAGAAAATAAACCCACTAGCTGTGGACAACAGACCACTAAGTGCTCCACCGTCTCCAGCATCTTCCTTTGTGAACAAAAAGGACATCCCTGTTAATGTTTTGTTTACAGATCACACCCACACCTACGGGTTTTTGTACGCCACACCTGTAAGCCTGTGGTTGCATTAATGTGCTGTTGGGTTAAAGAAGGAATAACGTTACTTGAGCATCCTGTGTGTTCTGACAGACACCCCAAGGTGAACACCACTGCTATCCAACCAATGCTATACTGGGTGAAATCCAGATTAATAGATGAAATGTAATAAATCACACACAGTGAGTTACTCAGGTTTTATACTGTAAAATGTGTTACATTTCACATTGAAAAGCATGTCTTATTCTGCACTCAATCAGAACAAATGCATAATTGGGAGAGCTGGCTAGCTCAAAGCTGTGAAGTCTGTGGCAAAGCTGTTATTCTTTACTCAGTCTGCACCAGTGTTGGTCAAGTTACTTGAAAAAAGTAATTAGCAACTAATTACTGATTACATCTCCAAAACATAATTCTGTTACTTTACTGATTACTTTTTTAAAGTAATTAGTTACTTAGTTACTTTTTAAAAACATGATACACAACCTGAATACTTAATAAAGCAACAGACTTTTCAGCCCAATTCTATTTTTTCTGCATAATCCATCATATAAAATGTAATCAAATGAAAAAGTCTCTTTTTAAAACTTATTTTAATCTTTTAACTTTATACACATTGCATCAAGCAAAAATTTAATTAGATGCAACAGTGTTTGTCTTAAATTTGTTTAACATTTAAACCTATTTTCTGCATATTCCAGCACATAAAATAAAATAATTTTTTGTGTTTACACTCAGTCTTTCAAATAGATGCAAGTAAAACCCAGCAGAAAATAAATAAAATCAAAGACTCAGTGGCACTGAGTCCTGTCGCGCTTAAATCTATTTTCACCTGCTTAGCAGGAGTGGAGCAGGCGGAGGTTTGCCCGGAGCCGCAGCGTTCCTGTCAGTGTCCAGGATCCAGGGATTTCTCTGTGAATTTCACATTCCCGTGGCAGTGTGCTAGGTACTTGCTCAGAGGTTTATGGACAGTTTTTCGCTTTAGAAAGAAGTTTTCTTCCCAAGCAGTGTACAGCGGACACTAATGTTTTTGTGACTTTTTATGGAATGAAACTCAAAATAAGGTCAGTACTTCCATGCTTTAAACGCTGCACGCTCATACTCTCTCCCGTATTCTATATATTATCCATTGTTGATCTGCACACGTCTGTTACCACGAACGTCGCACTCGCAATAGTAATTCTTTGCATTACTCGTTACTTGAAAAAAGTAATCGGATTACCGCGTTACTGCCCATCTCTGGTCCCCACTCTGAGTGTTCAGTGTTGAGCCCTACTTAAGTTAAGCTGCACGATCAATTGCAAAGCATACAAACTGTGCATCTAACTTTTCTTATTATTATTCTAACTGAGAGATGTGAAACAGCAGCTCTGGTGCAAAAACAGCAAGAGTATCTTGATTAACAGTTGGATGGCTCGGGACATCAGGCTTATATCATAAGCATATTATTCTCCTTCAGTCTCCTCTCATTTATCTGAACTCCCACGCTGTTTACTTTTAGAGACGAAAAAAATTCAGATTTATGGTTCAAATGCAAAGAGCAGGTCAGGAGAGAGCAATACAACAGTAAGTGTCTACAGCCATGTCTAAAATATGATAGAGGCTGTCTAAGGAGCTTGGAAAGAAAAGCATCTGGATTACTTTAAGTTGCTTGAAGACGTTTCACCTCTCATCCACAAAGCTTCTTCAGTTCTAGGGTCAAATGATGGAGAGTCCCAGATTTACTCAAAACTACTAAACAGAAATTTAACAATGTGGTGTATGATGTACAGTGTAGCGAGGCATGCCCAGATCTCTACATTGGAGAAACCAAACAGCCACGTCATAAACACATGGCACAACATAGAAGAGCCACCTCGATGGGACAAGACTCGGCTGTCCATCTGCATCTAAAGGACAAAGGTCCCTCTTTCAAGGATGCCAATTAGAGCAGGGCGATATGACCAAAAATATTTATCACAATATACATTTGAAAATTTGCGATAACGATATAGCTGACGATATAATTGACACTAGACAAAATACTTTACAACTCCACAACTTTATTAGTGCAAAAAACCCCATCAATGTATTTTCACTTAAACAAGCAGCTGTTTTTTATGTGCAAAAGTTCAAATGTAACAGTGCAAATGCAAATTCCTTGCTGACAGTTTAACCAAAAGGCATTTCCAGTGGAACTTGGCCGACATATCCTCAGCATAACCATGTATAATATCCACAAAACTTAAAACGAGGTTATACACACACAATATGGTAATATTATGTTGAAGCACAGTACGTATCACTCTGCGAGGCTCCTGCCTATAGCCGTAATGCTCCGACAATCCATCAAGCGGTGCAGCTTCGTAGCTTAGCAAAGTCGTACTGAAACATTTGACAGATTTTCGAGCGCCGTGTACCACATAAAATCGTTTCGAGGTCAGTAAACACAACCAGAATTCATACATAAGGCACACGGGATTATAAGGGGCACTGTTGATTTTCAGAAAAATCAAAGGATTGATTTTAAGTATGCCGTATTTTCCAAAAACACGGTAATAACAATGGCTCGCTAGCATGCGCTACCAAAAATAGTGCTTTGTTGTGTATCTGACGGACAAAAGCTAAACCAGTCCCACACCACTGAAGTTGCAGCATTTTTACAAACCAATTCTGGTTCATCTGTTTCATTCAACGATCCACTTTCGCTCTTCTCATTCTGCATCACCGCCATGTGCGTATGTAAACAAAGGCACTGCGCATGCGCGTTTTACTATTGTTGCCCAAAATTACACCGGTATTACCATGAACGGTATGATATAGCCCAGCCCTAATGCCAATGTTCAAATTTTGGACAGAGAAGACAGATGGTTTGAAAGAGGAGTGAAAGATGCCATTTATGTCCACTGTGAACGACCATCTTTGAACAGAGGCGGTGGTTTATGACACCAACTGTCTGCCATCTATAATTCAGTTCTGAGATCCCTTCCCAAACACCTAACCTATACTTTATGCACATTGTAATATTGTAGACCAGCTAGTCAAAGTGTTACGCTAACCATTACCTGGTCAATGGAAATCATGTATATGGATTTTGAAAGATGTTCATACTGTTTATATGTTTACATTTAGCCAGCTAACAGTGTTTTGTAGTTATATAAAAACTTTGAATTGCACCTGATTAAATTTGATTTGTAGTTGGAGGAGGAAACATCTGTGGTCCCTTTGTTCCCCCTAGTTGCTGTCACCACACAGAGCTGCTGAGTGTCAGATTAATGCTCTTCAGCGTCTGTCTGTTTTTTCCTTTGTTTGTTTGTGTCCTAATATGCTGCCTTCTACACTCAGGCAGAACTTTAACTGAAGATTTAATCCTTCAGTTAATCCTGGGTGGAGGTGGTGGCTGTAAATACTTTAACTTTGCATAACATCAAAAAAATGTGCTTTTAGAATCTTAACGTGTCCTGAGTGTTTCCTTTATTTGTACATACTGTTAGGTTCACAGCAGAGTTTTTAAAGGAAAGTGTTCAGTGTTTGTTCAGCTAAAAGATTTAAAGGGCAGAATAAACTACATTTATATTTCGTTAATAAACATATGTAATAGAGCATTGAAGAGGAACATCAGTTATCAGATACCTGTAGACTTCAGAGTATCAGAGACACACTTACACATCAACCTCAAAGTCTCCACTGATGAGAAACTCCATCAGCTGTTCAGCATCTTTGTGCTGTTATTTTCCTGATCACAAGAAACAAAAATCAAAAACTGTAAGACTGTGGTGTTACTGTGAGCTCAAAGACTGTTATTGTCTGTTATTACAGTGGCTTTAATCCTCACACGGAATCTCACCTGTTCCTCTCTCCACCACATCACATCATGCTGAGTGTGAGCAGCTTCATTTTCTGTGACAGGGGAGTAAATTTCCTATTAAAGCATTGTAGCAGGTGACATGGTCTGAAGAGCGCAGCAAAATATGGAAAGTTAATAGCAACAGATTTATTTATTTTATAATGTTTTTTTTGTTGGGGGGGGGGGCACCTTGTTTATTGTATAAAAATATAAAACCCAGTTATTCCAATGAAGATAAAAATGCCAGACAAAAAAACTCAGTACACATCTACATTAACCATAAATCTCTGTAATTAAAATCACGTTCTGGGTTAAGCTTATCAGTAATTAAAACCTCATTATGGGTCAAACTTGTCTCATTTGTTTATTATCAATGTGCCTCTGCTCTACTGCAGTTTAATCCGAATTTAAAGAGCTAAAAAGAAAGAAAAAAGGCTGTGAACATGTACATTTAGTCACACACACACACAAACAGTTATCACAAGAAAAACTAAACAATAGGCAGCCTACTTCTTCTGTTTAAAACAACTCAAACTGCCTGTAAAATCTTTCAGTTCTCTGCAAAAGATGCCGAAAATAAGAAGTCAAGTTTGGATTAAAGGAGCAATCTGCACAGAGCATGATAAAGGTACAAAGATATTCCAACTTCCGGGATCAGCGGCTCATAAGTGATGAGTAACTTTCGAACTATCAGAATGGAGACAAGAAGCGATCCAAGCCGAACGATAACAAAAGTCTAACTTTTCTGTCCTGCAGGACATTTGCTTCATGTGCTATTAACTACAACACACCACCAAGTTGAAAACAACACTTTTACATTTTTATGTATATTAGGACAGTTGTTTAGGAATGCGTGAGTTACATAAAAGTCATTTTCTTCCCTTCTTCTTTCTTTTGGTCTTCAAAAGAGAGAGAAAAGCCGCCTTCACCTCTTTTATAACACAAACAGCTTGAGCCGATCGAGTTCGCCAGACAACCTATGTGAGTGTCGAAACACACATGGATGTACATGACAATAAAGAGAGACGAAACACAAGGACATAGTACTAGACCCCCCCACCCCCCCCACACACACACACACACACACACACACACACACACACACACACACACACACACGAGCGCAAAGGGAACCTAATAGATAAGAGAACATAAACGCAAGAATACAAATACACTCAGAGACATAAAATGGACTAAACTCAATACTAACTGTAAAAACGTCCCTTCCTTCGGATATCCACTGTACCCTCCACAGACGGCGGGTTTGATGCGAACCAAAGCGGCCTAGTGTGCTGTCCTTCCTCGTGGATCACAGAAACAGTCGAAAAGTAAAGTTTCTACAGCTTAAAACCAGTACGCCTCTTACCTGAATCTTACCTGTATGGTGCTAGTTCATTGTGTCCGCTTCTTTTGGGATCGTTTCTCTCTGTGTTAATCCATAAGATAGTTTGTGGGGTTTTTTTTTTTTTTTTTTTTTTCTCTTTTTTACTAACAAAGAACCAAACGCCGGCTGGACGTTTTCCTTTCACTTTTCTTGATCAGGAAGTAGGAAGTACTTATAGGATTTACCAGATGCCACCGCTGCAGGCAAACTAGGTCATAAATCGCCACTTTTCCAACCCGTCTGGTTAAGAAATGATGTAAAAGTCGCTGTTTAATAATCAGGACGCTGTAAAACTCTGTAAAGTCTTTTAGCTGCAGGAATAGTTCTTCAATCAATCAAATTAATTTCACTTTCACATGCTAAAGAGATTCTTTATCACACTGTGGGACAGTAACCTCTCATGTTTAAATACATGCAGTTTAAAGTTTCAGATTCTGATGTGCAGCTGTCATTTAGTGCGGAAGAACGGTCACGTGACCCCTTTCCCCGCTTCGGGAGCGCTTCACCGGCAGTGGCGGTCCTAGCCTGTTTCGCCGCCCCCCCCCCCCCCCCCCCCCACACACACACACACACACATAAAACATATTAAGGATTGTACATTAACATAAAACTGTTGTCGGAACTAATTGATAATCTGTAACATAATGTATAGTTTGAAGTTTAGTCTGTTACTGTTACTATTTTTACCATTTCTTTTTGGAGCAACTGTAACCCACATAATTTCCTTAGGGGTTAATAAAGTATTCTGATTGTTTCAGGATGACCTGCCATTATCCAATGACACATCTGCTTACCTGTATCTTTTGCTCGTTTCTCCTCCTCTTCTTTTCTATTTTTTCTAAACTGAGCACCTGATGGCTTTGAACTTTTCTTGTCCATTTTCCATTGGTTTTCATTTTGCACTCCAGTATGAACACAAATCCCCCAACTCGAGGATCACCACAACATAACCTAACACACCTACACCTTAGTTCACAGATTCACTTTGTGTAAGGTGTATTTCTGGGATTTCGCACAACCCAGGATTAAAATCATGAATACAATGGGCTTGGATTTACAACATTATGAATGAAATGTGCTCTATTTGGAAGCAGTCGCCCCTCCCCTTTCGACAGGTTGTGTGTGAGACTTTAAATCATCAAACTGTAAATTATAAATTTTAAATTGTTATTGATCCCTTTACCCCTGGTCCTAAAGTGTATATTTATTTTCTTACTCTTCTTATATTTATTGTTTGTTTACTTGCACTGCTGTAACTGGAGCCTCGTCGTCTCGTCTCTCTATATACTGTACTTATATAGCGGAGATGACAATAAAGTTTACTTTGACCGAGGGCTCTCGCGCTCACTTTTCTAGTATAGAATTTTGAAAAAACATCGGTGCAGATTATAAGTCTGTATCATAATGTCTGGTGTTTTCATGTTTGTTGTTTTGTTTTTATTTTGTTTTATTTTGCGAGTTGGTTATTAGATGCTGCTCCAGCCAGAGAATCCCCCGCCGCCCCGCCCTCTCCTCCCTGTGCTGCAAGCAGCAGGCGCACCTTGCAGACGGAGGGCGCCCTTACTCCCAGCAAATGGGCGATAGAAAGCAATTTTTTTGCCGATGCCTTTAATGCCACCCCCCACCACGATGCCACCCCGGGCAACTGCCCGTGCTCACAGGGCAACATGAGCGGATCCAGTTGACTCTTTACTAGGGATGGGTACCGGTATCATGGCACCGGTTCTGACATAAACGGTAGTTACCAGACTGAAAAGCAGCGCACATTTCGGTGCTTTTTTTCCTGAGCTGTGATACACTTTAGATTCTAGCCAATCATTTTACGTTTCTGAGGATAGTAGGCGGGTCCAGGTACGTACGTTCTTTTAGAGCAGAGCTACAGATATAAAATGTCCAAGGCGAAGCGGTCAAAAGTCTGGCTGTACTTCACAGCAAAAGATGCAAACTCAGCAGCCTGCAACAAGTGCTTTAAGCTGATACTGTGATACTGTCAAAGGAGGTAACACCTCAAATCCGATGAAACACCTGGCGACGCATAGCGTTTTTTTTAAAAGCCGAAAAATGCGCCGTATTTGATAGCTTGCTGCGAGACCTCACACCGTGCACATCTACTGCGGGTGTGGTGCCTGTTATCGGACCCGGAGTTTGCAACATCCACCAAAAACCCGAAGAATAGAGTCCTGGCCCCTAGCCCTGCCAGTGTAGCAGAAATGATGAGGATGATGATGGCAGCAGCCGTTCTTCTCTGCGTGAGTAGCTTAATGTTGTTCGTGTGTAATTTACGTTGCGTACGCTAACCACGTTATTACATTAATGCATGTAAGGTGAACTAGCAACATAATCATAGTTACATGCGGCTGTCCTCTTGTGTGATGGCAGATACTCCCTTCACCCTGGCCAAAAAGGCTAAAATGACCAAAGAAAAAGTGGAAAACAGTTAAACATGAGAGGTTTAGGACAAAGTTTGTGTTTTTTCCATTGTTTAAGCACTGCTTCCAGCCAAGAGTGATACCATATATGCCCCATAGCTGCAGAAAAGGCTAACATTGTTATCTTTTTAGAAAAAACAGCTGAACATGTGAGGTTTTTGGACCAATTTTGTGTTCTCCATTCTTTAAGCACCGGTTTAAGCACCGGCACCGTTTCAAAAGTACCGGTTTGGCACCGGTATCGGATAAAACCTAAACGATACCCATCCCTACTCTTTACAATCTTTACAATCCAACCAACTGGACGTTTTACTTTAGTAAAACAGTGAAACATGAGTCTTTCATCACCGTTCAGGTTGTGGGTTACAACAGAAAGTGATACATTTACTGTTCTCAAGTGGAGTCAGACTATTTCAACAGAGGATGTTTTGCTGAATAAGAGGATAATCACGTCTGTGTGAACTCGAGTCATAGAAACTTTTACAAACTAAACCACGTTTGTCCATAATTTGGACTGCAGGGAACAGGGGGAAGAAATAGTGAGAAGGTGATTAGCGGATCACTGAAGGTGGGGCAGCCCCTGAGAGTATAAGGAGGATCCATAGAGGTAAATAAAATGCATTAGCAGTGACGGAACTTTGACCTCTAACTTTTGTTATGTGCTATCGTTTCAAATTACAGAGAAGTGTGCACAGTGTTTAAACAAATAGGACTGTGACAGGAGAGGGATTAACTAATGAAGAGGTTGTTTGTTTTATTGGGAGGGATATAGAAACAGAATAAAGTTACATGAAATACATGTGAGCTGCTGGACAGACAGGTGAGATCCATGTGAATGACTTCACTAAGTTCTTTCTTTCATTCCTCTGTTAAATCCAGATGATTTTTTGTCATGGTTAGTGAAGGACTCAAAAAGCAGAATCTTAAATCTTCAGTACAGTGTGTTTATTTACAGTGACACATGATCACACAGAAAAGCAACAATCTTTGCGACTGGGTTCTGAGACAGCTGGATGTCCTGAAGGCTCGAATCCTCGCCACGGGCCTGGTCAGAAGAAACACCAGAAACAAGTCCACAACTCAGTGAGAACATTTACTCAGCCTGGGATTCCTGCACAGACACAAGCAGAAGGTAATTATCAGGGAACACACAGGCGATGGAGAAAACTGATCATATGTTGGCAAACTAACTTTACTAACTAGCTTAGTCAACAATCCAGCATTGAATAAATGTCTTCCTCCGGCTTAAATGCAAACTGGCTGATGACCAAATCTCTCAGGTGCAGATAGGCTGAGACTGGAGGAAGACACACGTCTACAGATAGAGAGACAGAGAGAGAGCAGGCAAGAGTGAGAAGGAGAGCGAGAGAATCCCCACATATGAATAAAAGCAGGGCAAGAAATCTATCAGCTCAGCTTAACACTATATTGTTGCTCAGTGCGATGTCAATACTGCTGTTTATTTCTGACATGGCAGCTGCACATTAGAGATCTGAAACTTTCAATTGCACACACCTAAACATTAAAGGTTACTCAGTGTGTTCAGCTCTGGCATTCTCACATAGCTTAATAAAAGAGTGTGAAAATCACTTCAGTGTCATTTTAATGTTATTTATTCACAGATATTTCTATAATCTAACACCATCAACCGAACACATGCAAATTCCTGTGACAATACCAAACACACTTTGTGCTGCTCCAACTTTACAGCTGAGCTTCATTTGGTTGTATTAGGTTCATATTTTTCATGATATAGTAAAATATCTCAGTAGAAACATGTGACATTCTGTTGCGAATAAAATATGGATTTAGCAGATTTGTAAATGATTACATACTGTTTTTATTTTCCACAGCGTCCAAAGTTTTGTGGAAATGGGGCTGTACTATAAGACTGTGTAAAATTGTATTTGTTTAACCCTTTCATGCATAGTGGTCACACAGTGGACAGCTATTCAAAGACTGTTTTCTTGTATTTGTGTCAGTGTTGATGGTACACTTGCACATAAACCACTACATTGGACACTGATGTGTCACTCTTGACTCAGTCTGTCTTGGTCTTGTCTTGGTTTCGATATCCTCTGGTCTTGGTATTGTCTTGGTCCTGCGGTTTAGGCGGTCTTGACTACAAGTCTAGTACTCAAAACGCTTTATACAACATGCCTCAATAAATTGTTCAGACAATCACTTTTGTTTCTATGCTTAAGTGCTTTCTATCTAACATTCACACATATTCAAACTGCAATAGATGCTTCAGAGAGCAACTTGGGGTTAGTAGCTTGCCCCCAAAATAATAATGCATCTACGCATGCATCTACTAATAATAATTAGTAGATGCATGCGCTACCTCCTGAGCTAAATCCATGGAACAAGATATATGTAATGCTTGATGCATTAGTTGTACACGGGAGACATCATGCTTTCTTTATATTGCCAGATAAAATAATTTAATAAATAGTAATTAAAAAAACTTGTATTAAATAAGAAACATGTTGACAAATGATGGTGGTCACAGTGGCATCATCAAAATGCAAAAACTAAAAAGTAAGCAGAAAGTGATGGGATCTGACTACTTCCTGAAATTCTTCTTTAGCTGTCATTAAAGTGAACAGTCACACAACACATGGCCATTTTTATGCATAGTTCCCTGTTTTAAAAGGCTCAAAATTATTTGAACAATTGACTGAAAAGCAATTTAATGAGAATGTGAATAAGCCATACTTATAACTATAGTTAGCTCTAAAAATTCTTTTAGCGAGAAAGCAAAAGCTTCAGAAGCCAAGATTAAACTGAAAATGATAAAGGAGAGAAATAGATCATGATCTGAAGTATATCATATCATCTGCCAAGAATGCTGGAGGCTATGTTATGGCATAGGCATGTATGGCTGCCAGTAGAACCAGGTCACTAATATTTATTGATGATGTGACTGTTGATAGAAACAGGAATAATTTT